AGTGAAACACATTGGAAAGAAAAACTAGAAGTCAGCTGAGCCGCCCCAACTCTTACTCACAAAATGGCTTTGTTTGCGAAGCTCAAGTCAGTCATCTGTGTTTTTGAAATAATGACTTAGGGATTTAAGGTGGCATGATTTTTTCCACTGGATATGTAGCATTCTGGACTAAAACCCTTCAATTATCGAGCCTTTCTCATGTGCTGTAAAAGCGCTAACGCCTGGTTTTCCAGTCCCGTCTTGAAGGAGGTTGTTTTCTGTCCCCCGTAGGAAGTGGTAATTAAAGTGTTGGCCCATTTGTACTTGACAGTTGCATCTAAGGGATAACACTTTCCAAATCCAACCATCATGCATCAGTCACTTGATATGTTTGGAGAGGCCCAGCGTGCCCCAGGACACTTTTCCCAAGGCTATAGGGACGTGAGGAAATTAAGCTGCGAACAAGCAGATGTAGCCACCGTCTCCTCTTGTGTCTCACCATGTCTCCTTCTTACCAGGAGTGGAAAGAGAGTCACAATGCACTAAAGTGCCATAGGAACGCTGCAGTAGAGATTTAACAACAGTTTACCAAAGGGACGTTTTAGTGCACATTTTTCCGAAAAAAGATGACACCCGTTTTTCACAAAGAACATTCTTACATCAGATGTTCCTCGTGCAGCTTTACAAGTTCACACTTGTCTTTCAAGTGAGGAAGAAAGAAAAGAAGAAAAAGCTTAAAAGCGAATTAAAGCCAGTATACAGTGTTTGTTTCTTGTTGACTGCTGGTGGAACCACAAATGGCAAATTTACAGCTGCTCAAAACCATTGCATCATGAGTAATTTACTCAAAAAAGTGCAATAAGAGAAAATCGCACATACTTCACATCATAGTTAACCAAACCAGGGTGTTTTTATACACATTTTGGTATTTCCTTCTTGGTTTTCTCTTTGGTAAAAATAAAAATCAATGAACGCATTCTTGAGAGTAATTGTATTATGTGTGTACTTCACGTCTGAATTTGCATTTGTTAAAGATACTATATCACTGAGTGATGGTGAAGTTAAAATGCAGAGAGATTGTTGTTTGCTAATGAATAAAAGCTTTGAATAGAAGGAAAAAAAGTGTGCATTGAAAAAGTGTCAGTAAAGCAGCTACAACTTGCAAAAACACTGGCCTGATCCTTTAACCAGTTATATAGTCAAATCAGGGTTCATTCTTGACCTTAGAAATGCAATATGACCAAAACGGTACCATCGCATGGCCCACTTACATGGTGTTTTTGAAGCTTTCAGCCACATTTACCCATGAAGAACTGTATGAACAACGTAGTTTTTTTAGTTAATTCAATTCAATTCTAAGCCAATATAGAGTATGTGTGTTCTGTACAGGTTGGTTTTCCGTCAGTGTTACGGTAGTGGTGCGAACTCATCAGCGAGGAGACTGTGGAGGACAGGTTGAATCAGGGATTCTGGTTTTTCCTCTCGTCTGTCAGCCGTGACACAAACTTTCCTCCGCTCTGCTGCCTGTCAGTTGGAACGTGACAGTTAGATTTGTGCTGCAGCTCTGTAAAGGCAACATCGCATAATTGAAACTGATTATCACAGAAACTTAACAGCCCCCCCCATCATTCTTCCAGGCTTAGTGGTGAGTCTCCTTCCCCACACGTGCCCTCCTGTCACCTCTCACACAAATATGCTCCCCCTGCTATAAGTGCTTCATGATTGGGCAAAGTGCGCCTCATCAAAATGTCCTTTTCCAAATTGCTTTTAATGGCTCGCGTGGATCTGTCTGATGCCAGCCCGCATCGGAAAAGTAAACGATGTCGGTTTCCCGAGAAGCTGTCACAGGATGCCGCAAAGCCAGAGCGCCCACCAAACGAGCAGTTAAACATCGCCAGAAACCCTGCGGAACATTAATGCCCCGGCCGTCATCAACGCCTTCAATCATCATTCCGCTCGTTTACGTCATTTCGGAGTTAAGGCCGACTAAAAGCAAACGGCGGTTTCGCGTCTAAAGAGCTTCGTTGGAAGAGGACGCGGGTTTTGTCGGCTTTGCCCGCCCGCCTGCAGACAGAGGTCTGTCTCCAAATGGAGAGATTTACCATTTATGAGTTCACTCCTTTTTTGGTCTTTATCAGCTCTTGAAGCAGCCTTCAAACCCGCACATGCTGCCTGCGGAGCAGAACATTCTTCAGCGAGGCCTCACAAAGCTTTTTGTTGTGTTCAAACTGACTGAGCCTATTTGAGAAGTCGCTTGGCGAAAATGGCCGTTACCGTGCAAATATTGTCGGTTACATATCGTCTGTGCCCGCGGGCTGTGCACAGTGTTGCCAACTCCTCAGTAAGGAAAGTAGCTGTTGGCTGTCCTAAAAGTCGCTAGAAGTCGCTAAATGACATCATCGCCTAATTTGCATAATTGTAATGAGCGCTGCAGGAGAGAGGCGGGAACAGCGCCGGCTTTGCGCATGCGCGATTCATTTGCAGTCTGGACACGGAGAGTGTGGGTCTCCTCTTTCTGCAGCTGGGACTGCTGTGCGAGGGGCTTTCACGTCAGAGTCAAAACACCAGAAAAGTCTCCAACAACGCCAGAAAAAGTAGCTAGATTTGTCGCTAGTAGCTTTTGACAAAGAAAGTCGCCATGAGGGTTTGGAAAGTCGCCAGATTTAGTGAGAAAGTCGCCAAGTTGGCAACACTGGCTGTGCATTTTTGGCAGGCGGTTGCACTGTAAAAAAAAAAGTCCCACGTTGTCCCGGTGCTCGGTCTAATTAAGAGCCCTCACAAAACGCTGCTCGGCACATGTCTCCTCAACATGCAAACTTCTGAGAGTGCACGTGGGATAATCAAACAAATCACCCCGGGCAGAGGGCACACACGTGTCAGCGTCTGGTGTGTGGGGAGAGAGAAAAGACGGAGGCCCACATGTAAGGGGGGAGCCTGCTGGGAGGATGCACGCGGTGTCGCGAGTAGTGTCAGGCAGATGGAGGAGCTCCGTGTCGGGATTCTTGTCCCGCAGGGGCTCCCCGCTGATACAACCAGGGTAAACACATCAGTCTGCGTGACAGGGAGGGGAAGAGCTCTTCTTCAGCAACTTGTTTGGTTGCCCTTGATGCAAAGCGCTCGATCCGCAGCATAGCTGCTCCGAGGATGTGGTTAAACTGGGCAGTGTGCAGACGGGTGCATGTGTAGGCAGCAAATCCTTCCTGTGGAATGGTAATAAAAAAGTAGGGTTGTCAAAAAGATTGAATTATTGATACATATCGATGCTGAATATTCTAAACGATCGCAGTACTTATCCACTGCAGTGATGATACATCGGCTGCGTTTTCTGTTCCCTCTTCTCTACAGCGGCAAGTTGACACCATTGACTCTTTATAGGAAGTGGACAGAGTCTCCATGACGTCCCACATTGGTTTGTGGATGCCGTTTTTAGTCCCACATTGGTTTGTGGATGCCTTGGCCGTCGCCACGCAACTCCGCTGAAAGCCTCGAAGTTCCATCCATCCATCCATTTTCCACCGCTTATCCGGGGTCGGGTCGCGGTGGCAGCAGGTCAAGCAGGCCGACCCAGACCTCCCTCTCACCGGCAACATGTTCCAGCTCATTCTGGGGGATCCTGAGGCGTTCCCAGGCCAGCTGGGAGATGTAATCTCTCCAGCGTGTTCTGGGTCTTCCCCGGGGTCTCTTCCCAGTTGGACGTGCCTGGAAAACCTCCAGTGGGAGGCGTCCAGGAGGCATCCTAATTAGATGCCCGAACCACCTCAGTTGACTCCTTTCGACGCGAAGGAGTAGCGGCTCAACTCCAAGCTCCCTCCTGATGACCGAGCTCCTTACCCTATCTCTAAGGCTGAGCCCGGCCACCCTACGGAGGAAACTCATTTCGGCCGCTTGTAGCTGCGACCTTGTCCTTTCGGTCACGACCCAGAGTTCGTGACCATAGGTGAGGGTAGGAACGTAGACCGAGTGGTAAATTGACAGCTTTGCCTTCCGGCTCAGCTCCCTCTTCACCAAGTTGGTCCGGTGCAGCGCCTGTTTTACTGCTGCAGCCGCACCGATCCGTCTGTCGATCTCCCGCTCCATCTTCTCGCCTCGAAGTTAAAGGACAAATTTGTCCATGACCTGTGACGTGACTGTGACATTTATCATGTTGAGAGGGAGAAAAACGCATCAAACGGTGTGAAGTGATAGTAAAAAGCACTTTCACATCTTTCCATCAATTTGCCGCTGAATCAGCTGCGTCATTTTCTTTCCAGGAGAAAACACATTGATTCATGTCCTTCGATAGTGCCAACATTGGGATAATTGTTATGTTGTATGAGAAAACAAACTTCATGATATCAGGAGTGAAAGACGAATCGGTTGAGCATCCAAACGTGTGCTGATATGACTCATTATCGTAGTGCTGCTATAAGTCGCTAACAAAGAGACACAGGGACGCTGAGTGAGAGAGCATTTAAACCAGAGAGGGAGAGAGAGAGAGAGCCGAGCGGAGTCGCAGCTCATGAATCATCATTCCCGCAGGATGTCTGGCCGCATTGCCCGGCCTGCCCTTTGTGTGGCCCTGGCACACTGCACTGACTGGGAGCGCTCCGACCTTTGACCTCGTTATAAAAGAGCTCCTGTGGGGGCGATGGCGGCTCGCCGACATGCTAATGAAGCCACCCTCTAGTCGACGAATGCAAAAATCCCCCTTACAACTGCGACCTCAGTGGGACTTTGTGAAACTGAATCCATGCTGCCGAGGTGACATATTGACTACGCTGTTAAAGGCCACAAGTGAGCCCCGCTGACCCGCACGACCTGTGTTTATGTGCAAATGTGTACGTTGTTTTCTGTGTGTTTCTATAGTTTGTGTGTGGATGTGAATTTATGTATGTCTGCCTCTGTACATATATATATATATATATATATATATATATATGGGCGTGTGTGAGATATGCAAAAGCCGGCTGCACCCCCGGCTTTGTAGGTGGCGACACACTGCAGTCAGTATGCCACGCAAACCGGGTCCCAGGGTGGAGCGGGGGGGTCGGGCAATAGCCACACAATGGTGGGCTTTATGGGCGGGTACGGCCGACGGTCCCCGTCCTTTTCGGGGCCCTCCGCCCCGAGACATTTAGGCTCGCTGAATGTTAAGCATGGTCACATTCTCAACGTGTGTGTCCTTTTGTGCTGACTGTGTCTGCCGTCTTCCTCCACAGATCGAGAATGTGGACGCCTGCCTCAGTTTCCTGGACGCCAGAGGAGTGAACGTGCAAGGGCTCTCGGCTGAAGGTAAGACGAATAAACAACACATCATTCAAGGCCTGATTAAACTCATAATTAAATCAGCAGGGAGCGGCACAAGACGGATCTCCCTGTTGTATCTCTAGACCTGGAAAATTCACTCGGCTCCAGCGCCGACCGACCTTCTGCGGGTAGCTTTCCATTTCTCCACAGGACCGAATACCTTCGAAAAAAGCTGGTCGAAGCCCCTTTCCAAGACACACTATTAAACTTCACGGCAGTGGAATTTACCACGTTGGTATCGTGACAGGGTGCACAGTTTCTCCATCTCCAGCTTTCACTACGGCAGTGTAGGCAATCATTAGGGCATCAGAGTGGATTGTGGGAGGATAAAAAAACAACTCCAGCGAGGGATTCGTCGCCCCGACCATCAGGGTGTACAGAACACGGATCATGTCAAATTGAACGATAAGCTAAAAATTGTCTCACAAGGCCAGGGCTGAAATTACAGTTAAGTTACCAAACGATCTGTGATGATTTTGTTTTTACACTTGATTTGGACTCTGCAGGAGGAACATGAGGTTCCCTCAAAGTTCCTAAATGAATCCAACTGCAGTCAGTTTGTTTTTTTCACTGCATGCCAAGGAGCTTATCGAAAGTGTTGCGTGTAGCATCACATCGTGTGACGTGTCCCATTCGACACCTGTAGGCCACACCTGACAAGTCATACATTAGCTAGCTTCGGCCCACACTGGAGAGCAAATAGTTGCTGTCCTGTGAAAACCACGTAAATGTCAACTTTCCATGTTTTTAGCCCATATACAACTTGGTAGCGATGTACTGTATTTTCAGTGAGGTTGCTTGGAATGTGTCCTCCGTCTCTCATGCATTCAATTCAATAGGAAGCAGTAAACTCATCATCCCCACCAGGGAGTGCGTATGTGTGTGTGACACTGCACGTGAATTAACACGACACAAATTTCTTCTCTGCCGCGGTGCCAGCAGCTGATCAGCTCAGAGCACATCCACCTGGCTCTCTCTCTGTCGCTCAGCCACACCACCCTACAGGGTCAAGATGTGAAACAAATGCTGCTCTTCTGGAGCTTTGACACGTGTCGAAGGGGAACCTAGTGGCGTATCTTGATTCAAAGAGGCACAAATGTTTTGTACAGTTTACAGTGTAAAAATGCTTTATAAAAATCTAGAGTGATCTGAGAACTAGTACAAGCATGTCTCAAGTATACCCACCGAGAATGTCCCCAGCTGTTATTTAGAACCCGCAGACCCCATGTTGTTTCTGCTCCCCTTTAAAAGCTTAAAGAGGTGGGCGTGTCCTTGACCTCTCCAGCAGCAGAAATAGCCTGAGAGGCTGACACACTGACCGACAGCTCTAAATCCTGCAGCACTAAAAGCAGCAAGGGTGACTCGCTGTAAATATATGGGCTATTGGGTTACTCTGTCTATCACTGTTGCTGCCGCGTGTCATCACTCACTTCCCTCTGCCCGTCTCTCTCTCCTTCGCTCCCTGCCCGTGTCGGCCTCGGTCTCTTTCTCTGTAGGCCGTGTTTGCTCTCCAGATTCTGTTGGCTGGCATATGTGGCCTTTATTATCTTTTTACAAGGCGTGGGTTTGAAACTCAAAATGGAATGTTTGATGTGCATACAGGCACATGTTTTTTTTCCTTCTCCTCAGAGAGCCTACTTATTGTAATAACCTCTCTAGAAGTTGCCTTGCATCTCTCCGGTTGGGAGGCTGTAAACCGAAGCTCCGGAACAACCCATCATGCTGAAGAGCGTTATGGTTCCCCCTCAGACGTTTCCGCTGAGGGAGGTTACAGGCCGTAATGAAAACGAGGCACAGTTGTTGTTTTTTTCCAATGCAAGAACAGAACGTAACCCTACAGAGAGGTTGTCATTGTGAAACCAAGCACCGCTCTGTACAAGTACAGCAGGGCCAGTAGTGTGGCTCTAGACTCTTGAAAAAGGCCCCTTAGCACAGAAAATCTAAACCACCAGAAAATAAAAAAAATGTTTTACTACTTGAAATGGGATAATTATCGTCAGGAAGTTCAGTCTGCCATTACCAGCCTTAAAAAGCAGGTGTAAAGCTCCAAAACACACATTTCCTGCATCTGATAATGGGTTACAGTGAGGGGTCCTCACAGCAGGTCATTAAAGCCTCTTTCCACTGAAGGGTCTCTGCCATAGCAGAACAGCCTCTTATTGGTTGTAGAGCCAGAGGGCAGCCCACAGAATGACCTGCTCACCGCAATAAAGTCCCTCCTGCTTGATCTCAGTGGGTCCATTTCTTTTTTGAAGTGGGTCTGATTTCATTAGGGCCACTGGTGCTGGGGGTCAGCAGGGGGTGCGCACTTGGTCTCTGACCAGAAAAGCTCAGTGTAGCGCTGATACTTTCTAGCTGCAAAAAAAAAAAAAACTGGCTGTGTAATTAGTTTAAAAGATAACACTGGAACGATAGTTGTTTGAAGACCTAATTTGGAAATAAATGGAAGCCAAACAAATGAATTAAAAGCAAGTTTACACAGAGAAATCCGAGTGCAGCGGAGGAAGCAAAGACGCGACCAGCTGTGGCGTTGTAAGGAGAGGCCCTGACTGAATGTGTATTGTCTGGGGATTAAACCCAAAGAAAGGCTGATTAAAGAAGGTAAAGACAGAATATGTCATAAATGCTCACAGGGTATTTGTAGTCTTCTTCCTATTACCCGACCATGCTAGAACTTCTCCTTCTCCTCCTCCAAAGTCCTCTGTGACGAATGAAATAACTAACCTCTCCAAAAAATAATTTAAAAAAGATTGAATAAAACCACTGCAACCACTTAAAAGGCCTCCAGCGGCAAAGGCACATTTTCTCTGAGCGGGGGCCAAGCAGAAACACTTGTCCTCCGCACCGCTCCAGAGCGGCAACAGCCCTCCTCCGTTCAGGGGATGAAAGGTCTGTGGCAGCCGTAGCAATGTCCTATCGCAGTCTCACGGACTGTCACAACTTCTCCTCAAAAACTCTCAGGAAGTTGAAAAAGGGTGCAAAAGGTGAAACCTTGTGGAAAAAGCATCCAAAGTGCTCGTAGCTCTCCTACATCCTTCTTGGAGGAAAAGGACAGTGTGGTGCTCTCTTGTCTGTGTTGCCTTACAGTGCTTGAAGTTTAGGCAGAAAGTCACTTCATGCTTAACTTCTCAAAGTCCCTTTTCATGCATAAACCCTGCATACGTCCTGCTTTACAACTGCAGAGAATTCTTCTTCCAACATTGTGCAGCAAAAGCAAAATAATCACAAGATAAAACAGCAGTTTTTCTGACAATAACACTATTCTACATTTAGTAGGAACATCAAAAGGTGGCTCGAAGATCAGGTGACAGCAGGTCAACTGACGCAAATGTGCTGTGCTGTTCTGACCCTGACCGTCCAGGGCAACTTCCCCTTTGCGATGGATGAAGTAGCATCATTATCATTATCGTTTCTGTTACTTTTTACCAGTTGCCAGTAGTTTCAGCCCCCTTGGGGCGGCTGAATCTGCAACAAAGTCTCTCCCTAAAGCCCAGCAAAATGCTGCTGTTCAGACTCTCTAAGGCCCCGTATAAATTACCGCCTCATGGTGTTAGAAAATGCAAAAGAAAAAAATCCCGAGAGATTACTCTTCTCTAACTTTCACAGCTTGCAAACGGCACACTGTAGCCACGGATGGCCGGGGAGAACGCCTGAGCCTCGCCAAATTGAAAAATGGAGCGAAAAAGCCTGCGTCAGCCGCCGCTGCCCCTCCGCGTGCCAGCTCCCACTGAGGGTTTTGATCCGAAAAGTCCATTTCACAAATGGGTGCGTTAGCCACAGCGATCAATTCTTCCGCCTCTGCGACTGCTGGATCCCACCGCGGCTGCGTGTGTGAGTTCTGACTCAGGAGCTGTTGATGATAAACATGAACACCTCAGACAGAGCCGCCCATCGATTAGGGGCTTTTTCCTCGCTGTTTGTTGCAAGCTCAGCATTTTTTTAAATGTAACTTTATCTGCAGAGCTGCAGTTTCTGCTGCATCAAAAATAATGAATTCAATCTCCCTCTTAGACTTGAGTTTATTTTTTTTTTTTACATTAATGTGTTTTGTGTTATTGTGTTTTATCTGTCTTTTCGCCCCTTATCCGTGTTACTGTTTCTTTTCAGTTGTCATTTATGGAGTGAAGTCCAAGTCAGCTGGTATCATTTTGAATTTTTATCTTATCCATTTATATCATTTCACTGCACCAAAAAAACACTATCAGTTCCTCATTTCGTGGCAAAAGCAGAAGCGTAATTGAAGTTCCCGTCGTATATTTTTGGCTGTTTGGCCTCAGACGTGCCCTCACACCAGACGTCAGCCAGTTAAACACCAGTGCAGCAGTTCCCATGCTGAGCTTCACGCCTAAGTGAACCAGCTGTGTGTTAACAGACGCTTTAGACCGGAATCTATGACAACTGATTCTCCTCGTGAGCTGTGGCCTAAACTGTTCCAACACACAGTAAGTGTTACCTCGTGCTATATACAATTAAATGCTATAACTCTGCATATTATATACAGCACATCAGTATCTCTTCTAGTTAAAGCCAGTGTATAATTACTCTTAAAAAACTCATAAGCCTGCTGCACAGCAGCTGCACTTGCCGCTCTATCCCCGAGTGGCTTTTTTTAAAACATGTGTTCACTTTAGTGTTTGAAAGATACAATAAATGGTTTGGAAAATATTCATTTGAAGCGTCACGGGACACTGCTTTCATTCCAGGCGGATAAAACAAACAAAAGTCCTGCACTACTTTCACTCGCAGAAATGGCTTCATACCAAGAAGATGCATTTGTTCCATGCAGGGTAAAGATGTATCCCTGTACATGGTGGAGCAGCACCACAAGTACCACGGCACATCACTGACATTTCCCTCCCTGTCTCGCCCCCGCAGAGATCAGGAATGGCAACCTGAAGAGCATCCTGGGCCTCTTCTTCATCCTGTCGCGCTACAAGCAGCAGCAGCAGCAGCAACAGCAGTACTACCAGTCCCTGGTGGAGCTCAGCCAGCAGACCAGCAGCAGCGCGCCGTCCGCCGGCAGCCTCAAGACGCAGGAGATGCAGTCCAGGTACGCTGCGCTCCGCACAGTTGCATTGCAGTAGTTTGGTGTCGGCTTGGGTCTCATGTCTGGGGCAGATGGAGCCCAGAAGGTTAGGTTAATGTCACTGTTTTGAATTAGCAGACCAATTTTTTTTTTTTAGGATCTCTGCTGGCAGAGGGGTCGACTGACTTATGGCTTTTGGATGCTTAATTAGGTCCAGTTAGAGGTTTTGTAAACAGGAATTTGTTGGATATGACCGTCTCTCAGTGTGAAATGAATAACAGCCTTCATGGAACATGTTTCTCATCAGTGTTTCTGCTGCATCACCTCCATATGGAAGGTTTGACACGGAGGACTCAAGCTGACTAACGGACAGATTCACATTAGATTTAGAATGCAGTCCTAGCCTCACAATGTATGCATAGTTGCTTATTCACTCTTTGGTTGACAGTTAGTTAGAAGATCAATATGGCTCTCATCTCTGTCTGTTAAAAACAAAGCTACAGCCTGTTAGCTTAGCTTACCATAAAGACTGTAAGCAGGGGGGAAACGGCTAGGTTTGACTGGCGTTCTTTTAATTATGTCGTCTTGTTGCGCCTTCTTCTTCTGCAATAGTAAACCGGTTTCCCGCATGGAGAATTGGCACCACCTACTGCTTATCTCCATGAAACCAACTCCTAATAGTTGCATAGGATAGTGGATGGTAACAAGCATTCATTTTGCATTGTCTTTTGCCGATTTTCTGTTAAAATGTGCAATACATTTGCACGAAAACCGGACTCTTGTCCCTGGTTCTTCGCAAAAAATTTTCAACATTTCTCAATGTAGCTGTAGTGCAATGCTAAATCTGCAGAGCACTCTTTTAAAGGGACATTGAGTTTTGGTAGTAGAGGAACTTCATAATATGAAGATGTGCATGGTGCAGTGGAAGTCTTGGTCAAACAGGCAGCTAAGCACTAAAATGCAGTAAAAGCAAAGGAGGCCTGACCCTGTGTGATGTAAATAGACAGAACAGGCCCAGAAGAGCATCTAAAGGAAGGCCTGACATGCCACACATGAGCAGCATTCCCCCCGACCGGCTCGAGTTGCTGCACGGCCGCTCTGTTTGGCAGTGGTGTGTGTGTGTGTGTGTGTGTGTGTGTGCGCAATAATAGCAGTTAGTCCCAGCGCTTGAGGAAAGGGGCATGTGGGTAAGATGATATTGTCGATTGCTTTGGCCCCTGTTTGGACAAGTTAGGAGGTGGTAGCGCTGGGGTCGGTGTATTGTATATGTGTGTGTGTGTGTGTGTGTGTGTGTGTGTGTGTGTGTGTGTGTGGGAGGGGGTTATTAGGGGCACAGCTGCCTCCCATTCCCACACTCCCCCCGCCACAACAGGTGGAGACCCCTCTCGCACACATACTGTCCACAGCAAACAGTGAAGTTTCAATCACACAGTCCAGTCCTGGAAAGCATGCCAAGACAGCGCACACACACATACCGTTAAAGCCGTTACAGGAGTTCACCATCACAAAATACGAGGTCGAGTCCGACAACAAGTTGGTTGAGAGATACTTGAGGTCTTATTCGATGAGATATTCGTGGACTCCAATAACACATGGGAGAACATATAAATTCATGGCGGAAAAAAACTTCAATAAAGACTCCTATGAAGTGGTTCAGTTCATTTCCAAACAGACCCCTCTGCCCTCGCCGCCCATGGCCCCAGTAAAGTCACCCTCCCCAGGGGCTGATAAGTTAATCACGTCTGAATGTTGGAGGCCACAGCGGAGGTCAGAGGTTCAGCCCTTGTCCGTCAGCGTTAAAGTGAGCCATTAATCTGTGAGCTTTTGGGGATGTCCGCGCCATTCAACCTTTCACCGGGCCGAAGTAAATTCGCTCACTTCCAAGACTATGAAAATCAGGGAAAGGATTACAAATATCTTGCACTGATATGATCACACAACCTGTGTAAAGAAATGTCTGGAGGTATAGAGGAATTTTGCCTTAAGTGTGAGTCAGAATGGACTCCGGCGGTTTAATAACTAGCAAGTGCCCGCTTGGGCCGTGTGCCTATTTGGAAACTATTGCTTGGCTCTATTAATACTCGAGATCCGCTCATCGCTCGTTTTACTCCAGGGAAGCAAAGAAGAGTTCGGTTGTACCTTTAGTACATCCAGCATCCAGCAGAAGCGGTGAACTGCAGTCAATGACCAGCGACCTTTAAAGGCCCGCTGCGGACGACACGCTCGACCCTGAAGCTCTGCCCCCGCTGCTGCACAAGTTTATTAATATTGGACGTGTCGCATGTCCAAATTGGACCAAATGTGTCTCTGCACACCGTTGAGTCCCCATCAATACACCCACCAAGTGTGAAGTAGATTGGATGAATGGTTCTCAAGATATGCAGAGTTTTGAGTTGTTATGGGAAGCTCTTATAATGCAGTGTTACTGCTGCTCTTTTGACACACAAGGAAAAAAGAATCCATCCTAAACAGATTCTGAGATGACTTGACCTCTTAAACGCAACTAACTCACTGGTACAGTCTGTCATCACAAACTCATGCTGTGCCGTCAGACATCATTTAAACCCAAAGAAGTCTATTTTGAATTCTAGCGGAGATCACAGAGTTTTCCAAAGCAGAAAGAAATCATATATAATATATAATATTTCAGTATAAAATGGCGCAGCTTGAATACTTCAATATGATGGAACGACGCAGCCATGTAATCTTGAATATTTCACACATTGTAAAGATTATATAGCTTTAATGAATAGCAGGAACAAGTTGATACAGACTATATATGATGCTGTCAGACAGTGTGGAATAAGTTGTTTCCAATCAATATTTAAGAGTAAGCGTAAGTAAAAAAGAATAGGTTCATATTTGCTTGAGCAATGTATGCTGCTTGTCTCACCCAGACTGTGTCGAATTGAATTCATCTGAAGAATCTCCTTTATGTAAAGTAGCATCGAACTACTGCACAAAGTGATGATATGTCTGTTGTCCAAGTTTGCTTTCTCTGCACTTTTCATATCGCGCCGTCAACTCCGAATCATTTAAAAGATTTCTTAGGTTCCTTTTGTTTGAGGCCTCACGCCTGGCTGGTGCGCACACTCCCTCTGCTTTTCACCCACTTTTGGAAGCACTGAAATGTAATTAAATGTAGTCATTAAAAAAAAAAGATATTTTTTAATTCCAATTTTCCACGGTGATGAATTCCTGCGAGGCCCGGCCGACCCCGAAGATTAAGCATTTCTGAGTAACATCATAAGCTATCAGATAAGCCAGGAGAATGGATGTTTTCAAATTCAAAATGTTAAGCTTTTTAAATTATCAAATTATCTGCCTCGCAGCTTCACAGAGGCGGAGACACACACCCTAACACACACACATTTGGCCTAGTGCGCATCTACAGTCGGGATATGGGGGAGCTTTCTATAGACAGCACCTGCTGGCCTGACTGGTTTCTCTGGGGCAGGGGATGTGTGTGTGTGTGTGTGTGTGTGTGTGTGTGTGTGTGTGTGTCCGAGGGGAACTCCCCATTAGACAGATTGCGACAGCCCGGAGCCACGGGAGGTTGACGGTGCTCTAGAAGGCAGGGGGGCCCGGGCACTGGCAGGGCGCAGCGAAAACTTCCCTCTTTAACTCGCCATGTCCCGGGGCGAACAAGTTGACCCCCTGATGCGGCGCTCCTCACGACTGCCGACCGCCGTGTCCCGCGACAGGAAGAGTCGTTTGCCCTACGGGAGAGCCAACAGCCTGGCCAAGCCCGACTCGTCTCCTAGGTACTGTTCTAGCTTGATATGAGGAGGACGGATTAGTGCTGGTGGCATCATGAACTGGTAAATGGTTTGGTTCCACTTGTGCTGTTTTCATTTATTTGTGTTAAGCTGTCATAGGTTGTCAATGCATAGATATGGATATTTTCCTGATCTTTGTCGTGGGATACTGTCAGGGTGAAGTCTTAATAAAAGTATTTTATCAGTAGTATGTAGTACTACACAATAAATACCCATTTTTGTGCTGCATGTGTGTGTTTGCATTGACACTCTTGTTATGTTGCTTGATACATGCTTGGTACATTTTAGTTATGTGTTTGTATTGCAACACTTCATGTTCTAATGCATCCTGGAAAGTGCTCTCATCTGAAAAATACTAAAATTACCTTTTTTAATTTAGCTAGGCAAGTAAATAGCGGCATACTGCTGTAGCACATCAAAACCTCACAGGTCAGGTTGGATGGTTTGGCGTACAAACCGTTTCACTTCGACGACAAAGTCACCGCTGTTTGCATCCGATGTCCTGCAAACGGTCACTGTTTCTTAGAAGCATGATCTTTCCCTGACTGACGTTTTCTATGTTGGGCTTAGTGTGTGAGCTTGATACAGAGCGACAGAGGACTGTGGCTCCACACACACCTTTGTTGTCGCTGAAAGTTTTAGATTGCCATGATGTTATTAGTTGAAATTGTTTGGTACCAGCTAACGTAGGCACACATCGTATTTTGTAGTTTTCTCTGGAATGGGATCTCTACTTAAGACTAGGGATGTTGTGGTTTTACTGTTGACACCTTAAACCCTTAGAACACTAGGACACTCCAAAATGACATGTTTTTGGAAGTTAAGTTTGGGCGACTTATATTGGTCACATGATAGGTGCAAGATGAATACAAGAGCTTGTATTCATCCCCCCCCCCCCCCCGACACGAAGGTTGGATGACATCTCATTACCTGCTGTCATCACGTTGGCCTGTAGTGGCTGAGCGCACGCCATTTTGGATATCAAACCCACCAGTTTGTGTCTGCCCTCAGGGCTGCGGCTACAATCAAGCTGAAACTGATATCGCTCACATTTAATAGGACAGCGAAGGCATCCAATATCGCTCGCATGTGCACCGCAGTGTCGTGGGCTATTAAACGGAGGCCCTGTTGATGTATGTTGTATTGGATCAAACGTGACAGACTGTAACCCCCCCCTCTTCTCCTCTTCACCTCCACCCCATCCCCTTTCCCTAGTCCTAAATCCTGCCCCCTCATGTGTTCTGGTGTCTCTTTTTCCACATTGGAAAGATCTTAAATTCTGTGAGTTGGATGAGCACTCCAGACTGGGGACTCTATACCATTGCCTTCATGTTTCATTGCATTTCATAAACCCGTAGGTGAGGGGGGGGGGGAAGAAAGCAAAAGCACAAAAGCTTTGCTTCAAGAGGAATGTGATGCACAAGTTTAAGCTCGACCCCTTTTTCCTACGAAATGCTGAAAAGGCGTTTTAGAGTGTGACAGGCTCCATTAATCTCTGTCTAAGCAGGTCCTGTCTGTGTGCTAAGTGCCATTTAGGGTATTTAATAGAGCACAAAACATACCACAGGGAGATGAAATGTGGTGCGGGCCGTGGGGGGGAGGGGCTTTGGAAAACGAAGAAGAACATGTTTAGTCGACAGACACCATTAACCAACGTGTCATGTATCACAGAGTTAATTAATGACATGACGTGAAGGCACTCGCCGCCATAATGGGAAACTAACCTGAACTTGTTTCCCCTCTGTTCTGCTGTCTGCTCCGGAGCTCGTTAGCATAACGCCGCGTCATGAAAACCCTGCAAGGTCAATTGGCAATGTACAGTGACTCTGCGCTTTATCGCGGGTGGTTTAAAAGCGAGGTGTAGATACAGAAGGACTGCGTGTGTTGGAGAGGGTGTGTGCATCTGCACCCAGAGTTAGACGGCTCGCTCTGTGACGGCTGATTTGATTTCACAGAATGATGAAAATGATATTGACTGAAAATCACCTCAGCAAGGCCTGAAACTTCTGCAGCAGTCCTTTTGTTGTACTTCTGCATGAGAGGAAATTAGGTGCGTCATCAACAGATTTTTTATAAAAGTCATGGCCAGTGTTTGTACTGAACCCTGTGCCTTGTGATACCAGTGTCTGATGGTATATCTGGGGCGTGCGATTCTTTTAATTTATTAAATCATATTTTTTTGAATTTCTTGTCCCTGTGATTATTTTATACTCAAAGCAATGTTATGAGTCACTTGTACTGTTGGTTCTCTGGTATTGGTTATTCACTTCGGGTCACAGAGCCAAAATGTAAAAGTCCGTTGGCATTTATTCATATTCAGTTTCATGCAAAGTCAAGAACTGCACGGCGAAAGCAGTCAGAGCAGGAAATAAGATGACTGCAGTGCGTCACTCAGCCAACCCAGTATAGGTGGTTTATTGTCTCGGTCCACTTTCGCTCACCAATGCCAAACCAGCAGCCCACAATCGCAAAACAGAGGACGAGTTGTTCCTCGTTGTGAGAGAAGACGGAAGTCTAAAACAGGCTGCTGGTGTTGGTTGTCTGTCCTCCAACTGAAGCACATAGCTCAACTGCTCCGGTCATTGTAGAGGACAGTTTGAAGACAGTGTTACAGTTGATGAACTTCTGCGGCTTCCCTCCTCAAAAGGGACTGATTGGAAAACTCAGGTTTCTGTCTCGGGTCAGCCTGTGAAAGGTATGAATACAAGTCTGGAATTCTCTATAAACTGATTTATTTGTAATATTTAACAGTCAAGAAGAAATTGCTTGCAGTATTCAAAACTACTTGAAGGGGAACTTGTTGTGTGCTAGTTATTTGATGCTATATCACATTAGTTTCTTTAATTTAGAACTCTTTTTATGTCGAGTTTTCTATGTACAATGGAATACTTTTGTAAACAAACTGAGTCGGTTAAGCTAATAATGTTAGCGGCCATTAGCTAAGCCTGCCTGCCTCAACACTGCCATCAACATAATATTTTGGTTACATTTTCAACCCTGGCCTTTTTTTCTATGTTTGATAGTGTTTATTTTCATAACTTCTTTGTAAAAAAATGCAGTTTTCTTTGACAAAAGAGTGAAAAAACAGCAGAAAAGGCCACATGGGTTTCAATGCTAACTGAGGTGCAGTTAGCCCAAATGTTTTTTAAGTGAAAATTATGCTATTGCTTAGAGTGGGGGGTTCACTTGCTTGCTTTTTAATAAAGCCAGCCACAAACAATATGTTGTTATATGAGGTATTTAAGCTAGAAAAATAAGAAGATATAAGCTTTGAATAGAGGCTCTGTTCACAGTTTATGACAACAAGTGAGAAACTCTCACATGGTTTGTGAGTCACACTGTTCGCACAGGACGTTACACTCAGAACATTTACACACAGGAATAAACAGCAGCCCCGCCACCTGGCCTGCCACTTTACATTGTTTACAGGGTGTAGGCACGATGATTAAAGGCATGTCTTTGTTCATAAAGCACTCCACAAGTAGCTTAACTACTTCCTGTCAAACACAAACGGAGGGGCAGCCCGCCTTGATTCCCCGTCTCCGTGAATGACTAACAGTGAGTGTTGGGTTGTAAACCATGACTGGTACCGTGGGCATTTCCTTTCGCCTATGCCTCGTGCGTAGTGGGTCTTGGGGTTTTTCTTCAAACGATGCCACAGTGAAATTCTTGTTTGTGAAAGTGTCTCGAGCTGTTTTATGTATAAATGGCTGGAGAGATGTTGTTGGCTTAGTCATAGGCGCGTGGTAATAAACATATGTGAGCCATCAAAAGAACTGAAATGTGCTCTGGCGTGCTACAGTACAGCATGCGGTATGCGCTTCTTCTTTTCTCCTCCCCAGTTATCTCCTCTGCTGAACGACTCCTCTCACGCACATTGTTACATTAAGGCATGGATTAAGACAATTCCAGCAAGACGCTGGACTCATTCCTTCTCTAACCGTGTTAACGGTCCCTCTGTCATCTGCTCTCTCTTCAGTCTCACAGCGCGATATGCAAGTCCTCCAGGCCACAGTGGAATAGGGTCCCCACAGAAGAAAAACACAAGGTAAATATGGCAGACACTTCATGTACCGCCTTTAGTTTATGGATTCTTTGTTGTCTGTGTTTTTCAAGTGCTTTTTGCATGACCTGCATGCCCTCACAGGGTTTTTACATTTTGCTTAATGCTTTTGTGATATTGTGTTACCACCTCAGGGAGGTCAAAGGTCAGGGTCAGCTACAGAGCAGCTGGTAGGGATTCACTGTTTGGCTCAAGGATACTGCAGCAGGGCGTAGACGGGCCTCATGGCGGCTTGCCTCACAGTGAAAAGACGTGCTACATATTCATTATAACACTCTCTGTTGCCTTTTCACAGGTGGTTCGGTATAATTAAACTAGGCGAACGTGTAATTGTATCGGTGCTTGTACATCATTTTCCTCCAAACCAGTATTCCGCAAGCGAGCAAATATTCAGTCAGTAAGAAGAATGGATGACAGTATCTCATTTGAAATGACTCGCACCAAAACTAGGACCAACTTTATGTAAAAACACATTGACCACATGATTTGAATTGCCAGTGGCCGCTGAGGAGCTGAGTGGATGAACTCATCAGTGAGTCCTTTGCACCAAAAAAAGGTCGCTAGAATCACACAAAAACAAAGAAAATCCAGGATCCCTGCAAAGTTTTCACTCAAACAGTTGACTTGCACTTAATATCTGTCCTCAGTCCAGCACTTTCACCACTTGAGAAGTCTTCTTCTGTGTGGTGTGTCCTCTGGGAATACCCCTTTTACATGTCTTGGCAGAAGAAGCTGCTGCTAAATAAGCCACCAGACATTATAATGACACTCTTTGTGTTGCCAGGCTCTAGGCTGCAGCCAGCATTCAGGGAACCACAGGCTTCAGCTACTCTTTTCGGTGTCACGTGAGCTAGTAAACCTATCAAACCCACACAAGGCCGCTGACCTTCCTCTCGTCTCGTTAACATAAGCATTGAGGCTCTCACACATGTGAGACCCACACATACTGTACGTACACACACCCCAGAGTCCAGTTGTCTGATGCTCGCAGCATTTGTTCCAGCTCGGGGGCAGTGGGAAACGTTGGCAAATAATTCCTCTCCAGCCGCCACTGAGCAATGGCAAAAATGCTGTAGCCAGCAGCTCCGGGCCTGTGGGTGGTAATCGGCCCGCTCACATCACAACCTCAATGCTGCTGCTTTACAGAAATAGCTCTTTCGTTCCCGCACAAATATGAACGTGCACACACACACACACACACACAACACAATGGTGATATTGTAACCATTGCCCCGCTGCCATCCGATCCTCATTCGTACAAGCGTGATTACCACTTTTAATTGCTTTCTTGCCATTTGAGAAGTCATTTTTAATCACCATGAACTGTCTCCTCTTCTATCCCTGAAGCGAGGAAGTTTAAGCGCTCCTACAATGGGACAACAATTTAAGTCTCTCCCACATACTGTGCTGAATGCGGCTGAAAGAACTTTCCCCTCAAGGTGCTGGAGTTTTTACTGTTTTTTAAGCTCTTTTGGAGACATTGAACTCGTTAGCCAGAGCTAAAGGAACTACCCACAACAGCAACAACTGTACTCGTATACAGTAAATTACTTTCATTGTTCTTAACACGGGCGGAACACGGCCACTGAATTTTTGTGTGCGGTGTGTTTTACACTTGGCTTTCCAAGGATGAGTAACTGGTGATTATTGGGTGCCACTTCTCGTGCATTTCTACACTTCCGAATTGTGTTGCTTCCTCTTGTTGGAACTCATTTCTTTCTCTCCAATGAACCGCTCTGTGGTCCTATTTTACGAGGACAGCTGTGCACTGTTGGGCAAATGTAATGCCTTTAAAGGACCATAGCTGTTTGCAAGCTTTAGTAATACATTTATTTATTTTTATTTATATAGCGCTTTTCAGAATACTCAAAGACACTTTACATTTAAAATCATCATATAAAAAAGCTATACACTAAAAACGTAAAACACACAATATTGGTCACACATTAAAAGCGGTTCTGAAAAGGTGAGTTTTGATTTGGGATTTGAACATGGAAAGATCGGTGCAGTCTCAGATGTGTTTGGGGAGAGAGTTCCAGAGGGAGGGGGCAGCTATGGAGAAGGCTCTGTCACCCCATGTCCGGTGCTTGGTCCTGAGTGGAAGGGACAGGAGGTTGGCATCAGAGGAGCGGAGCCGACGGGATGGATTGTGGTGGTGGAGCAGGTCGGTGAGGTAGGAGGGGGCCTGATTATGGAGGGCTTTATGAGTGAGGAGAAGGACTTTGTATTGGATCCGTTGTGGGGCGGGGAGCCAGTGGAGATTCTGGAGAACGGGGGTGATGTGATCACGGGAGTGGGTGAGCAGGCGAGCAGCAGAGTTCATGGATGTACTGGAGTTTATTTAGGATTTTGGATGATGTGCCATGAAGAATACTGTTGCAGTAGTTGATTCTGGAAGTGATGAAGGCGTGGATCAGAGTTTCAGCAGCAGATGAGGAGAGTGATGGGCAGAGACGGGCTATGTTTTTTAAGTGGAAAAAGTGAAGTTGGTTTGCATCCATGATTTAATGTCAGTGAGGCAGTTGGTGAGAGTGGAGTGAGTAGCAGTGGTGATGGCCTTTGTGGAGATGTAGAGCTGGACATCATCGGCGTAGCAGTGGAAGTGGAGACCATGTGTGACGTATGATATTTCCAAGAGGGAGCAAGTAGAGGATGAACAGAAGAGGACCAAGCACCGAACCCTGGGGGACGCCTTGAGACAGAGGAGCAGTGGAGGAGGTCCAGTTGTTGATGCTGATGAACTGTTGTCTGTTTGTAAGATATGATTTAAGCCAGGAGAGAGCAGGTCCGGTGATATTGAGGGAGGATTTGAGGCGGGAGAGAAGGATGTTGTGGTTGATGGTGTCGAAAGCTGCAGTGAGGTCGAGGTAGGTTTAGCTCCTTAACTACAACTTATCGGCCATTGATTTCCATTCATTTTTGTACAAACTCAATCAGCGCACTCTTTGACGCTTGTGTAATCCATCAGCGTAAAGTTTTTGTCAATGATTCAACAGTCTGCTCATTGATTTTCATTAAATACAGACTATAGTACCACTCAATGGCATCCTGGATTAGTAGAAAATGTGGATTTAAACTAGAGACCATCTTGTGATGGATCACACTGGCTGCAACGCCAAATTGTGCCAAGGGCCTAAAGTGAGGGGACCAATGGCCCCTTCCTCACTTCCAAAAAGCCGAAACCGATAGTAAGCGTTTTCTCCTCTGCAAGAACTGCTGTGGATAGCCAGAGACTGACAGGCCGACTCATGCGTTCTGTGTCCGATACAGTCCCAAGTCTGTCCTAAAACAGAATCATTGTCACATTTTTCATTCTCTGGCTCCGGTTTGCCGATGCATAATCAAACATGTATTTTGGAAGATGAAAGAATCTCATGATAAAAGGGACTTCCTTCTAAATTTCCATCTGAATTGCTTCAATCTCACCCTCATTTTCCCACTGTTTATCTCTCATTTTCTCTTGCAGCTACACTATCTGCATCCATTTCCCTCTCACTCCCATTCTCTCAACTCTCTCCTTTGTTCTTTTTCATGTCTTCTTAGGTTTTTTTTCCATCTCTTAATTGTTTTGGTCTCTCACTCTCTTCTGTTCCTTCCCTTGTTGATTGTACCTGTGGGAGCTAAAGGCCCTGGAGCTGCTGTTATCCATGCGCGTGCGTGTGTGTTTAGGGATCATGTAGGTGCTTTTAGTTCTGCTTTGCTGTGAGATATTTCTTTTGAACATCAAAATTCAAAGTCTCTTTTCCCACCCTGTCTTTCTCTCTCTCTCTCTCTCTCTCTCTCTCTCTCTCTCTCTCTCTCTGTCTCTCTCTCTCTCTCTCTCTCTCTCTCTATTATGGGGCTGCTAATGAACCAGTCCTTCTGTCGGACCACCTCTTCAGCTCAGTGCAAGTCTCTGCTCTCAGACCTGGATCAGCATCTCTAAACAGAATAAAGTCTGCTAGTCTCGTCACAGTCGGATCTTTTCAGGATCTAAGAGATTCAGAGGAACTGAATGTCGGCACATTTGCTGCTTCTCAACGTCAGTTTTATTTTTTTTTGCACTTGAGCACATTTTATTTTTGCACAAGTGCCTGTATAAAACAACGTTTGCATTGTTCAGCACATGGACTGACTTATCAGGCAGTTTTGTTTTCCGACTACACGTCGTGCCGCTTGCTTAGTCGCTGAGCCTCTTTTAAGTGAGACACCCAAAGTAAACTAGAATCTTTCCTTCATCTGTGTTTCCTCGTTGCATCACAAAATGCAGGGGATGGTTAGTCTGATGAGCTCGTAAAATAGCATTAGCATTACCAAGGGATAAATGCTTTTTATCCAGGTGTGTGTAGTATGTGAAAACAGTGCTATCTCATGTATCAGATTTATAATAGTTAACAGCATATTTAAAATAAAGCATACTTAATATACTTAAGTTAGGGAGCAGGCAGCAGTGTGTGTTACAGATGCCAGTTCTTGTCCTTTTATTTGGACTCTTTTCGGTATGAAATAGATTCCCGTCCAGTGATGCGCGCGAGGCCCAAAGACGGATCACCTGCTTTTTCAATTCTGCTGCGTTACTGACCCACATCTTAGAGTGTTTAAAGGACACTCCAGGGAAACGGAATATTAAGAGTTGCCCCACTATTGACTTGGCCTCTCAGCTGCGGGTTGCTGCTGTCACAGTGGGACAAAACAGAGTTGACCCGACTGGCTCCTGTGGTATGTTTGATAGATAGCGTGGCAGAGAAAGCCGAAACCTCCAGATGAATTGCATCATAGCTCCATCTGTTTGCCAAAGGAATAGAACAGCCCCTCAGGCATCAATACTTCATGTCAATTTCTGTCTTGTAGTTTTATTATGTGAAGACTTTAAAGGCAAAATGGAACATATGAAATATGTTGTTTCCACCCTCCTCCCCCTCTCCTTTTTTTTTTTTTGAACACTTCAGGATTCCGCCCTTTAAAAACAATTTCCCCTCCGACATCTCGGCTCCATCTGCGATACAGACGCGAGTGACATATTCGCGTAGCAAATCGATTATCTTTGCTAAAGGACATCACAGCAGCCTTCATGCACGGAGGCAGAAAGACACCAAGTTGTTAGAATCTATTCAAGGTTTTTCTGTTGTTATTTCTTTAGAAAGACCAGGCTATGGATGGAAACACCCACGGCCCCTCTGATGCAAGCAAGGTCGTCTCTTAGTGCCTGTTTTTTTTTTTTTTTCTCAGCATTACAATCTGCTCCCACCCTGTCAGCTGGGAGACTTTGTGACTGCTTCTCGTCTTTCTTTCTCTTGTCAGACGTATTTTGATTGGATTGACCTTGGCCCGCAGTCGAGTCACACAGTGCAAACAAGCAATCTAAAAAGATGAACATGTATATGAAATATATATGGTACGGACCACTCAACTGTGAGGTAAAAGGCAGCCTTTGAAATCGGTTCATAAAAATCGCATCAAACCACGATGATGATCAATAGTAGAAATACTGTATATCCAAGTTGCAGTAAATCGTGTTGCCATTTGTGTGCCAGATGCCAGATCTGTTTTTGGAACAACTTGAATACATCTGGCATAAAACAATGCAATGTGAAGTTATTGTAGAGCAGCAACAGGTTTCTGATGAGATAATTCTTTTGGCACCCTCGCGGGAGTCGAGACAACCCTCCAGCTGCGGCGGGCAAATCAACATTTGACACTGGCAAGCTTTGACTCTGTCGGGAGAGAAAGATTATGCCAAAGTGTGTGTGTGTGTGTGTGTGTGTGTGGGTGTAAGAGGCTACAGAGACTGACTGAAAACACACACCTCCATGGTAGGTGTTAGCGTCCGCCTTGGTTTTACTGTCAGTAGAGTTACAGCGATGCATAGTGACGACACATGAAGGAGGAATAAAGGGCCATCATACGTCTCTCCCTGTCTTCTGTAGTTCACGCCTCCTTCTTTCTCGACCCACGAAGGAGCACACAATGTCTTACAGCACTCACTTGATCTCTCTTCATCTCACACACTGACGCATGCCGAGCCCAGGGCCAGTAATCATGACACGATGGGAGAACCTTTTTTTTCCAACTCGTATTGAGTCGAAACTTTCCTCGCTTCTCTTGATGAGGTGGTAGAGTCTGTGCAGCACAGCTCAAAGCCTCACTCGGAGTCTCTTGTCTGTCTCTTTGAGTTCCGGGTGAGACTTGTTTTCCGCTCCCGGCAGCTTCTCTCACCAACCAGCGTTCAAATTTAAAGGATGGGTTCACATTTTTTCAGGTTTTGAACACAGAAGTGCCTTCTCTCTCTCTAGACAAAAATAAGTCATTTTTAATGTTTCTGCCTGATTAATATTGTCATGCAGAGCTCTGCCTCAAACTCCCAATATGTCATCTAAACATCCGAACCCCTCTCTTGCAGGTTGCCAGGCCCCTCCAGAGTACCTGCTGCAGGCAGCGGGGCCTCCAGGAGCCCGGGCTCGTCCAACCTCAACCGCCGAAGCCAGAGCTTCAACAGCATCGACAAGAGCAAGCCCCTCCAGTATGCCAGCGGCAACGACAGAGGTGAGGGCGGCGTGCTGCCGATCGTGTTAGAAAGCTGCAGCTCGGTAGGAGCAGATGGTAGGACGGAGCGCCCATTTTCACATTCTTCATCCTGGCCACTTGGTGGCACCACTGGCTCAGACAGGCGAGGCTGCAGAAAGGCCCTCACTCTACCAGTCCTCACCAGTCTGCTGAATCATCCCCAGTTCTTCATTCCAAGAGAGTTATAATGGACGCCGCTGAGTGGAGGCAGCGGCACATTTTCCCAGCATGGAAAGAGCCATTTGAGGGCCGACCGAAAGGGGCAAATTCAGACAGCTGCTCTGCCGAGCGCGACGAAGCTAATCAGAGTGATTATGTTTTCGAGAGAAGGGTCTCACAGTGGAGCTAGAGTGTGCGGTAGTTTATTTAATGTCAAACTGGTTATTCACAAATAAATAGTTGCCTTTACAGCCTTTCTGTTCAAAAGTAAATAAGCTGCTCGTAAAGGCTTTAATTACATTGACATTGGCTCACTAACTGTACTGCTAATAGCTTTAAGATTTCATTTTGGCTCATTCAGAAGATTCATCATGACTCACTGGCTCATAGAGTGATGATGAATAAAATCGATCCCACTGCTCAGTCATTTTAATAATTAAAACCAGTCCCGGCGGGTTTATGACATTATAATAACAAACTTTTTGCTTTGGCTCGAAATGTATGTAATCATGAAATGATGAGATCACTGTAGGATTCAGTCTGTAGAGTCGGGAGAGGATCAGCAGGAGAAGGTGGTGGAGGTGGAGGAGGAGAGCTTTTCTCTTTTTGATTCCATCTTTCTCACCTGCCGTCAGATCCTAAAAGTCCACGCAGGATGTGCACTCACCCTCACGACTTCTGTCTGAAACTTCAAACTCGTCAACGGAAGGAAGAGGGAGGGCATGGTGAGAGGTGATGAAGGTCACAAGGTGCACAGGGAGCATGTGCAAAAAGTGTTTGGAGCTGAAAAGAGAGCAAAGTGTAAATGATGAAGGAACTCTCATTTGCTTTCATTTAAAAATCAATTAAAAATCAATTATTTGTTTGGGTTTCTCCTTCAGCAAACACAATTACAAATGATTCAGTCGATCGGTTTCGGAAGGGTCTTCTTGAGTTTGTAGTTGCATTTCCCGCTTTCACATTCCCTTTAGTTTTACATCCTTTGATTTTGTTTTCTTTCAAGTTTTTAATATACAAATACATTATTCAGATATGATCAGACAAAGGTTCTGATAAAACACAAACATCATCTGAATTGTGCAGACCTGGTGATCTCAGATCAGTGCATCATGATCGGATAGTGAAGCCTGGCTAAAGTTAGGCATCATCTCAACAGTGAATACAAAATAGCTTCGAGAGCTTTCCCCATTTTTGTCAAAAGCCTGATCATGTTTATTCATCTGGACCACATCCTCATTACATCCAGTTTTAGAATGAACATAATATGCAGTTGATCCAAATGCTATTTTAATTTCTACTGGGCCTATTCATTTCCACTGGATGTTATGCTTATAGCTGTTATTTTGACTCAGTTGAGTCTTTTTGTTTTCAGTTCTAATAAAAATATAGTCATATTTCTGTATTTTGGCAGCTAAGCACCTACATACGCGGAGTAAAAATGGCCGTAGAAACCAGTTATAGTATGAAAATACACCAATTTTTACAGATGAGGGCATTAGTTTTGTGTTACACCCCTAACAGTGGCTGATCGCCCAGGAAAAGGGGCTACATGGGTGAAAGTCATATTTTTGTTTACTTGTTTCTATAACTATTTATATGTAAGGCATGTCTGGCCTCATGGGGGATGAAGAAATGCGTTTCTCTGCATACACAGCGTTGCTCTGACCAAATAGAACAACAGCTCAAAGGGCACGAAGAGCGCTGCGTCACCCTTGCTGCCGTGCAACTATTTAATTAGCTTCAGCCAACTAAATTGAAGCTTCGAAAGGGCATGCCCGTGATATTGGACCAAAGAAAGTTGGTGTTTGGTCTGCTTGTTGTTCGGAATCGGGATGAGGAGGCCATTTTGAAACTCGGAGAAGGTGGAGAAGCTGCTGTGTTATCTGTCTGACAGTGATGTTATAGGGGGAGCAGCTGGAGTTGAGAAGCGTTAGATAAGAGTGATAAAAAGAAGCAGAGGTTTGGAAGAGTACACACACGTCACTGCTGCAACACGTGCTGCAGGTTTTGACCGATCCATGCATCTGTGTGCATGTATGTGTGTGAATGTGTCATTCCAAACATGGGTGGTATCACTTGAATCCAGGCGTTCAATTTCGTGGGCAGACCAGGAGAAATGACATTTCATTTCTCGGCCGCTGAGGCAAAAAAAACCAAAAAAAACAAGACAAGAGGAGTCTGTTGCCATGGCAACGACAAGTCACTGCACGGTGAAAAGTGTGGCGCTGCAAAACCGCCTCCGGGGTGGTGATGGAGGAAGCGAAAGGGTGGGGGGGATCTCTAAAGACGGGGTTAATTGACTGGACACGCAAACAGAGATACGCCCACACACACACACACACACACACGGAGTCACGCAGATGTTTGTTACCCCCTTCCGTTCACATTTAACAGCTGCCCTGAGGGCCGCTGCACTATCTCTAAAGATGAAGGGTAACAGAGAGGACACAGACAAACACAGAAACACAAGCATGGATGCTGTCTCATCCATGTATATCAGCTGACTGTCTAGACACACACACACACACAGAAAGACGTGCACAATAAGTGTTTCTTGTCTTTATGCCAGCTGATTTTCCATCACATTAGCACATCTGGTCAGGATTCCTTGGCGTCGGTGTTTAGGTCAGGGGTCGGTAACCTTTACCATCCAAAGAGCCATTTTGCCCTATTTTTCACCAAATCAAATTTGTCTGAAGCTATTTGATATCACAGCTTATAAAGTTGTATATATAGTTATATTATATATACAAAAACTATAGTTTGCTGTATTTATGAAATTATAGAACAAGAATTGCTATTTTACCTGTTATAACAATATCAAGACTTGCTCAGTTAAACCAGCATCGTTGGCAGTGAAAGCAAATTAATACGTCCACGCAGAATTAAACTCTATTTTCTTCCAGGACTTTTCTTTTTTGGGATTTATCCATTGATAGTGTAGCCGATGGTTAATGTTGCGCCTATACTTTATGATAATAATAAAATAATAAACACGGGGCTCCATAATCTGTGCCAAGACGGCAGCAACTTTATTCACTCCTCCCACACTTCACCAGAACCTCATTTTCTCTTTCCGTCTCATCCTCCACAAAGCACAAAACACTGCTTCCTAGAGAGCTCTTAACGTGCTCAACATAATGGCTTACAATAGTTTACCGAGGGCGGGGGTCTGCAAATCATAATTAGCCACCTGCAGGGAAAGGCGCTTGACAGCAACGTAATAGATTCTAGTTGACAAACTATTAAAACATTTTTTATTTTGGTGGCGTTACCAGCCCCATTGAGCGGCCTTCTGAAGTCACGTTTAACGGAGGACTTTCCTTTTCTTATTATTGTTTCTTAACTATTGTGAAGTCCACACACATAAACGATAAAGGAACTAAACATTGATTGCTCTCCAGTAGGACAGAGACTTCAGTCACCAGCAGAGAGTGACAGATGTGTGTTGACCTCATTTATTGATCCATAATCTAGTAAACTTTTATGTGTAAGTGTTCATTTTAAAGTAAATGTGATGTGAGAGAGATAGAGCAAGACCCGCAGCGTTGTAACTAAGTCTGAAAAATAGAACTTTCCATGAACTGTGTCTGTTTGAGTTCATAGAGGAAGATTTTAGAGGAAGATCTTAAGTATCAAACACGACCTTTCATTATTAAAGACTACTTTACTTTGCCGACCCCTGGTTCAGGTTAAGCAAACTACTTGGTGAGGTTCAGGAAAGGATCACAGTTTGGGTTGAAATAAGCATGTTTTTTTATGTAACTTAAGTTACGTACATTACGTTACAGATATGTAACTAAAGTATGTTACGTAAGTTAACTTATGTACGTGACTTAAAATAAGTCAGCGTAGAGTTTTGGTTTCACACGGGACTCTAGACAGCGGTCTCCTGGGTGAAAGTCCTGTGTTTGTTTGATCCGTCCTCCTGCCTACACGGACGTGGTTAATGTTGATCGGAGCAGTTTCTCTGAGCGTCCTATATTGATGCGGATGGGTTTACATTGGAATTAGTTAAAAGCCCGGTGCATCTCATACAGATGCCACAATAAGCCTTGTGCGTCGGTATGAAGAGGGCGTGACCAAGCGCGAGTATTTGAGACCGGGCTGTGAGGATCTGATGGTTAAAATCTAATCCAATTATACCTCTGCTGGAGGTCAGAACCTTCTGTATTCCGACTCATCCCACCTTTCTAACCTGCGAGCTCATTACTGGAAAGCAGGAGAGTGTCTGCCAGAACATTGGCCTTTGAGATCTGCAGAAACAATGTTCTCTTACAGGCAAGAGGAGGTTCTGCTATTGCACTAATACACTTTCCCACAACTCAACAACACTTTCAGACGAGCCACATGCACTCTTTTGTTCGAATATTAAAACTGTGCATGCTTAGGTGTAAACACACAATCGCATGTCCACACAAACGCACTCACACACACACACACACACACACACACACACACACACACACACACA